GGGGGCAGCCAGGCACTGCTGGGGGCGTTCGCCAAGCTGGCAGCGGGGAGCGGGATGGCACTGGGTCCCCGTGCTCAGTGCTGCAGGTTAAGCTGGCATCGCCCCCCCCGGACTGCTGGGAGTGGGTCCCCCCCAGGCGCCTGCAGGGCAGGACCGGCACGGCTGAGGGGGACAGGCACAGAGGGGCACCCTGGGGCTCCTGGGCAAGAGGGGGCCTTTCCCAGGGTCTCCGAGGATGAGTTTGCGCCCCTGGCTCTGGGCACAGCTATCTGGGGGGCAGACACCCAGGCTGGGCTGTTTACCTTGCAGGGGAGGGCTGGTGCCCAGGGGGGCTATTCCCCAAGGCGGGGGGGCTCAGTGCCCGAGGACTGCTGGGGCCTTGGGGGTGCTGCGAGGGCTGGTGCCCAGGGGGGCTATTCCCCAAGGCGGGGGGTCTCAGTGCCAGAGGACTGCTGGTGCCTTGGGGGTGCTGCTGGCTGTTCCCAGCTGCGTAGATCCCCCCAAAATCTGGGGGTCCCACAAAGCATTCCTAAGCTAGGTTTCCCCCCAGGAGAGGGCATTAGGGACCCCCAGGTCTGGGACCCTGCTGTCCCCTACCACAGCCCAAAACAGGGGCCAGGTGCTGGTGGGCAGAGCCGTGGGGCCTGATGCGGTGGGGGGGAATCCTGCCGCCCCAGTCCCGCGCACTTCCTCCTGGCCAAGGTACAAAAGGAGAAGCAGCCAGGCACAGCACGGGGACAAGCAGGGATCCGACAGGGACACAGCAAGCAGCTCAGGGCTCCCCAGGGCTGAGCGGGCACAAGTAAGTGGCACCTCTTCCCAAGGAAAAGTGAGGCACGGAACAGGGTGGGCACATGGGGAGTTGGGTATCCAAGGTCACCCAAGGGTGCAAAAGCAGAAACCCAGGTGTCCGGAGGCCCAGATCCCACTAGGCCACCCTTCCGCGGTGAGGTTGAGTGCCAGGATCTGCCCCAGGCACTGCTGTGCGCTGGTGGGGTGGCACTGGAGGCAGTGCCAAGGGGAGGGGGACACTGGGGGCAGAGAGGGCTGGGGGGAGATCGGGGCACAGGGCATTCGCACACGCTGAGGCACGCTTGTGCACAAGTGCTCACGCGGCTCCTGGGAGGGTGCACCCCCGCACCCAGCCGTGCACACACACGCATGCTCCCCCCGCCACCCACCCACTGCCTGTGGTGACAGGCCCTGGACGTGCTCTCTGCCTGGGGCTGCAGCTTGGTTTGGGGGGGTTTGCATGCTGGGGGGCTCTGTGCCCCCCTCCCCAGCCTCCCTCGGTGCTTCCCAGGCTGTTCATAGCGAGAGCACGGGAAGCGAGAGCAGAAGCAAAGACAGCACTTCCCCTGGCCCAAACCCACATCCTGAATCCTGGGTGACAGGAAAAGGGACAGGGATGGGGACGCTCTGGGGGCTCAGCCCCAGCAGCCTCCTGACAAATGGGGCAGTGCTGCCGGGCAGGGCAAGCCTGGCAAGGCACAGCGGGCAGGGGTTTTGGCCTGTCCGGGATGGGGTGCGTGGAGAACTAAGGGAGCATAAGATGGGGCACCTGTGCCCCCCATGCCTCACACCTACGGAGGGGGATGATGGGCAGAAAGGGTGCCCTGTGCCCACCCTGTTTCTTACCCTAAGAAAGGGCAGCTCCATGGTAGGGCTGGGGGAAAGACCCTTTCCTTGGGGCAGAGAGAGGCCAAACCAGGGTTTTGGGGTGCCAGGCTCAGTGCCAGCCTGGCACCCTCTAATCAGTGCCGCTGTCTTTACAGACCCCTGGGGCAGGAGCCATGGCAGGGGATGGGGAGCTCAACCGTGTCATCAAGGACTTGCAGAGTAAGTGTGCCAGCGTGTCTCCTGCCTGGGGGTGCACGGGCCCCCTCTCCTCCCACCATCTCACCCTGGCCATGCTGCACAGGCCGGCAACCCGGGCACCACGTTCCTCCCTGCACCCAGCCCACGGGCGGCAGGGAAGGGCTGTGTCACCCGTGTCCTGGCGCTGCAGCAGGGAGGGAGGCCCCGTCCCCACTGTGGGTGCCATCCCAGGACCTA